CCCCTCTGAGTACACACCAAGATGCCTGTTCTAGGAACATTACATGGTTTGGATTCTCTAGTCGCCAATTCACATGTCTCACAATTCTATATGTTGATCCAAACCATCAAATCTCTTGTATTTCAGGAATTTCTCTGAATTTTAGTCTAGCACAATGCAATGAACAGTGAGTCATACACTGGAAAATTTGCTCGAACAAACTAAACCTTCGAATCTCTTTCCAAGGCCAAGATTGACAATAATGCTCGTCTGTTCCTGCTCAGTTCTCCCTTGAGAAAGATTATACTTCCTTGTCTCAAGTTGAGAACCTCTCCTCTTGATTCCTTTGGCCAATCAAGCAACAATATACCATTCATTGACTTAATCACTATGGGTATCAAATGAATTTCAAGTTCTATTTAAGGGTCTTATTTTGAGCGTACCCCCTCGAGTATTTGTTAGAGATTTACTATTTGCTATCTACAAGATCCCGGATGTACGCATTTACTTCTACGGCAAGGGAGGCTAACTAGTTAGGTCGCGCCAAGAATGCCCCCAAATGCTTGCGGTGCCACTCTTGGCTTTTTGAACAATGATCCATTTATCATTTCGGTGGTAAGAGGTGGACTATATCATTGCCCCAAGTTATCCTCAATACTTGTGGTACCACTCTTGTCCTTTTAGACAAAGCTTTGTATAGCCTTTCTTCGACAAGGGAGGTGGACTATGTCATTGCACCAAATTAACTTCAATATGGCAGGTGGTGCCCTTGTACCTCCAGTTGTTGCTCATCTTATAGACAAAGATCTTGTGCTCCAGTAAGACGTGTTTTAAAATTAAATAAGTATAATATTATCTTAAGAGTTCTTCTAAAAAGAATAAAATGATGATAAAAACTTAGAATAATTGTTAAAATATTGATTATGAAGTTTAAGCTTCAATCGCATTCGACTTTCGAAACAAATTGAGTTTTGGAGATGTTAAAATTTGAGAAGGGTGACAAAATAATTTTATAAATATTTTTATGTCAAAATAAGGTTTCTGTTGAATCCAGAAAGTTGAAAAACATTAGAAGAGGTTATATGAATTGTATTAGAAGTTTAGAAGTATTTTAGAGTTAAAAATTATTTTGGAGAGAATTTGGGTAAAAAATAATATAACATAACCTTAGTATTTTGGTTATAACTTTTTTACGCTAATGTCTGATTGAACTGAAATTTTTATAGTAGAAACTAGAGTTCAAGTACTACAAAAGTTTATTTCACGAAAATTTCGTAAATTGACCTCTAACTAGGTCAAAATTGAGTTTAAAATTGGATGTAAACTGCTACTCACGCCCACATGGGAATTCTCTATTTTTCAGCTTATAAACATCCTAGGGTTGCGATTTAAAGAGTCTTTACCTATATTTTTAACCCCAAGAACCCTAGGAAAGTTGAGGAGAAGAAAAGGAGGAAGAACAGACTGAATCTTGAAAGATTAACACGTGGCAATCAAAACAAAATACGTTAGGATTAAAATCTCATGAATAAAGGTAGAGGTTTCTTCCTAAACTTGTTCGTTGAGGTTAGGGTTAATAAATATATATGTTTTGATTCTAAATCATATCTATATATATATATATATATATATATATATATATATATATATNTATATATATATATATATTGTGTGTATGTGTGTATGTTATGAAATCATTATTTCTTGATTTTCTTGTAAATCATATCATGTCTTGAATAAAGTTATCGTTTGATAGCTATAAAAACTCTTGTTCTTGTTATCAAAACCCTAATTTTCAAGAAATATAGATTTTGCCCTTGATATTTCATTATTCTTGATTTAAAAAACTCTAGTATTTTATTTGAACAATAAAATTATATTTATTGATGATCTCTTGCATATTTTCTTGAGTTGTTTTGTTGAAAAAATACATGTACAATTACGTTTCTTAGTTTACCTGTGATTTGATATTGTATCTCGTGTGAATTTTTTGATGAACATGAGTGACCGTTGACTAGATATNCTTGTGATTTGATATTGTATCTCGTGGGAATTTTTTGATGAACATGAGTGACCGTTGACTAGATATCGTAGAGTGGGTAGATACATTTCTTACTTCGAATGGATTTAAAGATTCTCTTCCACTCGTAATGGGGTTGATACCTTGTGAGGACCAAATTACTGTTCGCTCATGGGTATCGAGACTGAGGACTAGTATGTTATTCCTGAGTTAGATTTGTCACCGCCGATGCGTCGGTATACACCCTTCCTAAAGTTGTGTATCCTTGCGAGAATTGGGTGAGTGTGTGTAGAGTAGAACATTCTCAATGTGTGTATTCTCATTATAAGTCTTACTACATACCTAAGATACAATGATAATAATGGTTTATTATTTGAAAGTTGGTTTTACTTCTTCGTTTTATTTATTGTTACTACGTAAACTTGAGAACTAATGAATTGTCACTGTTTTATTTCAAAAATTATATATAATATTTTTTTAAAATGAGATCGACCTATTTTATATGTTTTCAAAATCTTGTTCGAATTTGGGAGGATTTTTCTACAGAACTTTGTATTCACCCCTTATAAACAAATTTTCAAATTACGATCTAGAGGAAGAGCTTGAATTAAATGAGTAGGTAAATTAAAAAATTCAGATTGATGAAAATGTTGATCCCAACATGAATGTTTAGAGATGTTTCCTTTATATTCTAGATTGGAAGATTAATTATGAGACAATGTTTTATTTATTCTACTGTAAGATAATATTTATTTTTTGAATGTAATTGCCATGGGATGACTTTTGTTTTGGATGATGCTTTAGTCATTAATTATAGATGATGAATAAAATTTCTATTATTCATAGATTTTATTAGTTGTTCTCATGATATAAATGATTATAGATAATAATGTCTTCTAAATTGAATTTTCAGGCGTTACAGCTCCATAGATGAAGGTGTGATTCTCATGTGGTGTTGCACTGTAAGCCTCGCGGTGAGAGGCGAGCTTTGTCCTTCCAAAACAGCCACAGCACTGCTCATGCCTCAAGGGCAAGGTCACTTTTACTCGAAGAAGGGTGTGATCTCACGATGTTAAATTGTCATCTATTCCTCGAAATGCCACATGTCTGCTGATAATAGGTCCACGTATCCAAATTTTATGGCTACTACAGAGCGAGGAGAGAGAAATTCAAATAAACAAACAGCCAGAGATTTAAACACAGACTTAGTCTCTGACAAACAGATCAACTGACCCAAACTTCTGCATCATAAAAAGTCCAATTTCCCAACTGCACCTTGACTGAGGAGCAATGGTCGGTTTGTCTTTTTCTCAGTAGATCACAGAGAGGTGGGACCTAAAATCAGCAGCTTTTGGAAATTCCTCCTGCTATCAGTGCCCTGATTAATGAAATAGATTAATGTTTATATCACAAGGTTTAAAGTTTCAGGACCATGTCATAAGATTAAGATATATACTTGGTACAGCACCAGCTAAGCTGCACTCCAACACTGGAGAAAAAAACATCTTAACCAAATATAAAAACTAAGGTTGGTTTGCACAGCATTAATCGAACAAGAGACAAAACATAAACCTGTATGTTTTGAGTTTGAGTTTTCTAGCCTGTTTATTGGTACTTGTAATTTATGGGCGATTTCAGTTTCTTGTGTATCTTTCAAAACAGTATTCATACATGATCATCACACTCGTTTGGATAATCAATGGAGCAGCTAAACCATCGATTCATATCAATGTACAGACTTGGTCACAGCCACATGTTTTACCTCTTGGAGAGACAGAGAGAAACCCTCCAGCATTATTCTTATCCTGAAGGAGGACCTAAACCAATCAAAATCAGAGAAAAATGAAAAATCAGTATTATGCCATCCACATATATGCAATGACTTTGGATTGTAATAGACCAAAAAGAAGTTGGCTCTTGAGTTTGTGGGGTTTGGTTTGGTGGGTTGTAGCAAAAGAAACCACCCATTGGGTTATCATAGCAACAGATATGACTGAGAATTTGGTGGAACCAAATAAACTATAAACATTTTCCATTTTCCTGTGACTGGAAGTGCAAAAATTTCACTTTTTAAATAAAATATTTTGAGCAATGAATTTTGAATCCTAAGTCGTTTCCATCCCTTCTTTAACATATGTTATGTCAGTACTAAATGAAATGTGCTCTTAACGGCTTTCACTGAGGTTTACTACTACTTCAATTATTTTTTTCACTACTAAATGCTGAATTGAAGCTGTAGATGAGATGTAAAAGAGCAGAAAAAAAAAAAAAGGAGAGAATTTTAGTCCCCCGCAAAAAAAGAAAGAAATCAGATTAGGACAGGTACAGTGCACATGGAAAGTCGACTATCGTTCAAAATATCAGTAGGGGCTATATCACCTTCGAATATTCTCTAGAAATGCTTCATTTTCAGTATGAAGTATAATTTTTTTTGGGCCAATGAAAAGTTTAATCACGCTTATTTTGAACCCATGTAGATACATATAACAAGTGAAACGACACCCATTTCTCGATCTCAAGAAAATGTGGCACTGAAATTTCTTTCATTCAAACTAGGAGGGTTGATCAAAAAAATTATAGGCATAGTATTCATTGTTTACTGTCCGATAAGCCAGTTTACTGTCCACTCTTAAAACTACACACTTCATGCTAACAAATTAATCTAAAGGTTACCCCTCTCTCTCTCTCTCTCTCTCTCTCTCTCTCTCTCTCTCTCTCTTGTCCGGAATAAATTAGATATTCCCAAACTAAACTAACCATAAAATCAAAAGTTGCTATTTTTTTTTTCCGGTCCCCACCATTGATAAGATTCAGAAAAAGTGAAGCCGCGTTCAAAAGAAATGACTAGCACTTTTTGCACTTTTTCCTTTCATACTAGAGCCCACCAAGGCACCAAAATTGTCTACTTTGTATCCAAAACATGAGGCTCACTTTATAAATAAGCCACCACACCCTTCATCCATTCTCACAATCTCTCTTACCTCTACAACAACCAAAAACAATGGCTTTCACACTTCGTTCTTCCATTTCTTTCATTAATCTGAAACACAAAAATACCGCGAAAACTCCCAACGACTTCTCTGGCATGGTTTGCTTTGCACAAATCAGGCCATCGTGCCGTCTCCAGGCAAAGAATTCCATGCAAGAAGCTCAACTGTCACGTGAGAGAACCTCAGTTTTTGAAGGAGAGAGAAATGAGGAAAGAGAGAAGCTTCATGGTTTATCAATTGTTCATAGTAAAAATGATTCAAAGGTACCTGTCTTTGTGATGCTGCCACTGGACACAGTATCAGTTGGTGGGAACTTGAACAAGCCGAGAGCAATGAATGCAAGTTTGATGGCGTTGAAAAGCGCTGGAGTCGAAGGAGTAATGGTGGATGCTTGGTGGGGTTTGGTGGAGAAAGATGGACCTTTGAAATACAACTGGGAAGGGTATGCTGAGCTTGTGAAGATGGTTCAAAAGCATGGCTTGAAGCTCCAAGTTGTCATGTCTTTTCATCACTGTGGGGGGAATGTTGGAGACTCCTGCAGGTATAGATGGTTTTTTTTTTTCATAGAATACGTTCTTGGGGAGAAATAAACCTAGATATGGATTGTTAATATTTAATAATATCTTTCTCTCTCTCTCTCATCCCAAAAAATCTTCTATATTCATAGCAGAATTTTTATCAATTGGGGTAGTCTTTAATTTTCAAGATTTCTACACTAAGATTTCCAGCCCTTCTATTTTGATTCAATAAAAGAGGACACTAAGATATAATTCAAGGCACATCCAGCTGAGTACATGCCCCAGTAGAGACACACAGAGCCTAACTCAGTGAAAAGAAGTCGTATCAGAATTAGTCTGACCTCAGAAAGAGCAGAATGGTTAACATAATGCACATTTTGTTCCTGTTTTTGCAGCATCCCTCTACCCCCTTGGGTGCTTGAAGAAATCAGCAAGAACCCTGATCTAGTCTACACAGACAGGTCAGGCCGGAGGAACCCTGAATACATCTCCTTGGGTTGTGATTCATTACCGGTGCTCAGAGGAAGAACACCCGTTCAGGTCTACTCCGACTACATGAGGAGCTTCAGTGAAAGATTCAAGGATTACCTGGGGGATGTTATAGAGGTAACAATACATCTTATATAACATTTCTTGACTGAATTTTTCTTATTTAGAACAAAAATATTGCAGAGTCAAATCTTTACCAACTTTTTTCACCAGATACTAGGCAATAACAACAGATTTGATATGCAAAGTTCTTGATGTTTTCATTGATAAGTCATGCTATCTTGATAATTTTTCTTTCAATTGAAGGGTTTTAATTATTTGCTATGGCACTGGAAAACAAAATATATCTATGACGTGGACACTTAGGGTCCAGAATATTCAAAATATAACCTAATCCAAATGGTGGGCCACCAATACTTATTCAAATATCACATGTTAGAAATATTCTCCTTTCATTTGTGTATCATATAGATAAATAAATAATTTCTTTAAGTATTAGAAATTCAAATTCTATTTTTCAATACAGGAGGTTCAAGTGGGGATGGGCCCTTGTGGAGAGCTGAGATATCCATCCTACCCAGAAAGCAATGGAACTTGGAGGTTTCCTGGAATTGGAGAATTTCAATGCTACGACAAGGTAACTATTTGCAACTCAAATGTACTGTTTTTTGGTACACGGAGGCCACTAATTTCAAAAATGGTTTGTCGATGCTGTTTGACAGAAATATCACCATCAATGAACAAAGTGCCCGACCTAGGATAGGATATGACTGCGTTGGATTGGGTGGGTTGATTGGTTATTATGGTCTTAATTTAAGATGTAAACCTCTTAACCTCAAGCTGACTTCAACTCATGGTTAAAGTTTTAAAGTCAGATGAACTTGAGTTCAATTTGTGCTTGATTCAATGTTATACAACTCTGTTGAAATTAAAGTTAGATTCAATTTGAATCCTAAGTCGCTAATTCAAATATGATTCAAGATGGTTCCAAAAAATTTAAGATCCCAAGTGTAGTACAGTCCTCACCCCGGATAATAGATTTGATCAAAATTACCCTTCTAAAAAATTAACCATGTGCAACACATTTTTTCTGCAGGTTATGCAACACATTATTGTTGATAAAAAACTAACATCAATATCAAATGTTTTCAAATCATCAAAAACAAAATAGCATAAAGTTTAAGACAATAAATCTTGTGTATTTTTATAATAAACTTGTTATATTGAAACAGTATATGAGGGCTTCATTGGCAGCATCAGCAGAGGCAAAGGGAAAGAAAGACTGGGGGCAAAGTGGACCTCATGATTCTGGCCAGTACAGACAGTTCCCAGAAGAAACCGGGTTCTTTCGGAGGGATGGAACATGGAACAGTGAGTATGGGCAGTTTTTTCTAGAATGGTATTCCGGGAAGCTATTAGAGCATGGAGACAGAATCCTAGCAGCTGCAGAGAGCATATTCCAAGGAACCGGAGCTAAACTATCTGGAAAAGTAGCCGGAATTCATTGGCACTATAGATCAAGATCTCATGCAGCAGAACTAACAGCAGGATACTACAACACAAGACATCGAGATGGTTACCTACCGATAGCACGAATGTTGGGCAAACATGGAGTTGTTTTTAACTTCACATGCACGGAGATGAGAGACAGAGAGCAACCCGATCATGCGAATTGCTCACCTGAAGGGTTAGTTCAGCAAGTGAAGAGGGCAGCTAAGACTGCTGGGACAGAGCTTGCTGGAGAGAATGCACTGGAGAGGTATGATGCAGGAGCATATTCACAAGTATTGGCAACAAGTAGGTCCGATTCTGGAAATGGATTGAGTGCATTTACATACCTGCGAATGAATAAGCAGTTGTTTGAGCCAGAGAATTGGCGGCAGTTGGTGGAATTTGTGAAAATCATGTCGGAAGGTGGCCGGAAAACAATACTTCCAGAGAGTGACTCAAGCAGGACAGACCTTTATGTAGGGTTTGTCACAAAGACTAAAGCGAAGAAGGAGGCTGCCCTTGTTTAAACATATACCTGCATATTCATGTATATTTTGAATAATTGCTACATTCTAGTGCACTGAAAAAGAAATAAAAAGTAAAAAGGAGAAAAATAGCATACATTATATACTGTACATTTGTTATAATGCACCAAGTCAAAACAATGTTCAAGGCAAGAAAACTATAAAAGTTTTCTCTATATTTCTACAACCAATGGAAGAAAGTTTAATCTGCTACCTTTCACTGTCCTGTTTAGGAAGTTGACAGTCTCATTATTTTGGGGCTCGGGGTGATCAATGGAATTTTGAGTTAATGATTAGCACAAGTACATTTCGTTTTTGTTCATACTTTATTGAAATAAAGAGCATTTTGGAATTCCAATCTATATTATTCATCGTGATTATTGACTATGGGTTGTCTCCAGATATCGTTGCCAAAGTGCATGTCCCAATTTCAATTCAAAAAGCCAATTGCCCCTTTACAAATCAAAACAAAAGCATCAGCTATAAAAAGGTATATTACAAACACAAAGCAGCATAATGGTGACAGGGTCCAAACCAATTCCAACTTCAGAAAGATGAATTGTGCGATGAGACAATCTGTTGTGAAGTGCTGGAGAAGAGCTATTTGATGATATACAACCANACAAGCCAATTGCCCCTTTACAAATCAAAACAAAAGCATCAGCTAAAAAAAGGTATATTACAAACACAAAGCAGCATAATGGTGACAGAGTCCAAACCAATTCCAACTTCAGAAAGATTAATTGTGTGATGAGACAATCTGTTGTGAAGTGCTGGAGAAGAGCTATTTGATGATATACAACCATTACTTGAAGCAACAAAACCCCATTCTATGTACAGCCACACACACGAGCCTAAGTGGCACTACATGCAACATAGTAATTATATTTGGACGATGTCCAAATACCCGAGCATCGTAAATATTTGTGCATACAGAAACTAACATCGCGGTCAGTAATTCCCTCCAATAGAATGGAACATGATACAAACAGAATAAGAAGCTTAATTGATGTCATAAATTCACAAAGTAACCACATGTTAGGCCAAGCCTTATAGATAAACAGTCTATTAGAATCTCTCATTGAACAAGCATGTTTCTTTCTCAAAAGGCAAAACCAACCCCTCACCCCCATCACAGCCCCACCTTGAGTTGAATATTTTTTATTTTTTATTTTTTTTTTCGGGGGGGGGGTGGAATTGCTAGATTTGAAAATTATAAAATCAAATTGACCAAACCAATTCCCAACTTTCCAAATTATCACATTCCATGATATCTACTACTCAATCAATGACAATGCAACAAGAACCTGAACATACACTGCCAATTAAGGCTTTTACAGACATTTTGACAAATGTCTTCCAAATAGCTAGAGAAACAGAATTCAACTCTTGGCTCAGAGAATCAAGGATCAGAATCCATTTCTTTCAGCTCATTTGATGCTGCAATGTTTAACCCAAGCACCTGCAAAAGCATTCAGATCAGGAGACCAAAATAACTTCTAATCTGAGTAAGGATTATCAAGATTAGAATAATCTAAGTAGGGACTATCAAGATCATAAAATCTAATAAATCAAAGAACTATGAGTGGAACTCTAGCTGTCCACCTAGAAATTGAAAACTAAGTGTCTGCAAAACATCACACCTCCCCACTCCCCCACCAAACAAAAAAACCATAACAGCAACACACACACACACACACAGAGCATTCCTTGTGGTTACAACATTCATCAGGTGAAGAGCTGTAGTCCCTGTGTAGGCGTTTGGTGTGATGGGGGCCGAGAGAGAAGTTTTTGAACGTCAACTTTACGAGTTCAGTAAAGTCAATCTCAATGTGTGTGTGTGTGTGTGTGTGTGTAGAGAGAGAGAGAGAGTCACAGAGAAGCATGGATTATCTAGGAAAGGATATAGTCCAATAAGGGACAAAGAAAAATTTGAACGTATGCATGAGTGCCTTGAGAGGAGAGAGAGGGAAGGAGAGCATTATGTATAGCTCCAATCTTCNACAGCAACACACACACACACACACAGCATTCCTTGTGGTTACAACATTCATCAGGTGAAGAGCTATAGTCCCTGTGTAGGCGTTTGGTGTGACGGGGGCCAAGAGAGAAGTTTTTGAACGTCAACTTTTCGAGTTCAGTAAAGTCAATCTCAATGTGTGTGTGTGTATGTATATATAGAGAGAGAGAGAGAATCACAGAGAAGCATGGATTATCTAGGAAAGGATATAGTCCAATAAGGGACAAAGAAAAATTTGAACGTATGCACGAGTGCCTTGAGAGGAGAGAGAGGGAAGGAGAGCATTATGTATAGCTCCAATCTTCATGTACACTATTGACTCAGTCACTCAAGCTAGAAACCTTCGAAGCCGGAGAGTCAGATGATCCTGCTTCCCATTCATTCTTTTACAAAGATGATTGCAAGAAACAGTGCTGCCTAAAGGCGAATTAACTACAAGTGTCGAACAGTCTCAATTCCCTATACATTATTATTCAAAACTTGCACCTTCAAACTCCAAAATGGGCCATTATTATATTTTGCAAGTACTCTGCACAGCCTTTAAATCGTCCCAATTTTGGCTTTTCAGTACCCTATCTAATTCCAAAACCGCGCTCCTTTCTTACTGCCCAAACAAGTCCTAAGAGTTCCTATTTTATTAAAACTTTTAGGCACCTATAAACTGGTTATGACTTGTGACTAGTCTAAACACCATTGTTCGTGTTTTTCACTTCTATAGCAATTTTTGTGTTAGCACTTGAACAAGCGTGTGTATGCAAGCGTCCTAGATTACCTAAGCTGATCCTAGTAAAGCCAAACTCAGCTAATTGAGCACATGATTGAAGAACAATGCCAGCTGCACCGGACAAATTGAAGACGAAATCAGTTCAAATCTCAAAAGGTTTAATTCAATTTCAATGAGTAAATTCCATGCTCCAAAACCCATCTTTCATGCCATGAACCACTCGATCTTGGTCATATAGCCATTATTTCCAGCTGTCCATTACCTTATTTTTCAACTTAAGAAAGTGACAAAGTGGTTACGATGTCCTAAAATAATTCTCACTCACACACACAATAGAGGAGAAGGGTAGGTAGGAGATTTGAACCCACGACCACCTGCCAGTAGTGACAGTTCCACTGCCCCTAAAATTGCAACGAGGTTCACTATTGACGCAAGAAATTGATTTCAAGAACCAATAAAACAATAATAAACTAGCCATTTGAATACTAAGTTCGGTACTATTTCACCTTTGTGTTTGCATATAAGAAGAGAGAGACAGAGAGGGGGCAAGGAAATTACCAATTTATGAATGTGGAGAAGGAGACGAGGGTTCGGAATTGCCACGGCGAAGACTTTCGATCAAATCACCAAGCTCCTTGCGAGCAGATTCTCTGCCGAACATGAAACCATACCTGTTAAGAGTAAGTTATATACATATTTCAATCGAAAAATTAAGACCTTTCAAAGATCACCGGTGCATAGCAGAAGTAGAAAACAAAACCCTAATTCTTGAAGAAAAAACTGAATGTCTGTAGGACGTAGTTGAAGAGAGAGATATTGCCAGAAGGAAACGGCAGAGAAGACGCCTGCTGTGGCGATTGTCTGTATGAGAGTGAAGGTTTTCTCCATTCTACACCACTCCTATTACTCAGCTATGCGTGTGGAGAGAGAGAGAGAGAGAGGGAGAGAGAGAGAGGGAGGTGACTTGTGGCCCATCTGGCGGGCTTATAATAATTTTTTTCCTTACCCAAAAAAAACTTAGAATAAATTTTCTAATTAACTTTACAATTAATCACAATTTACACCCTAAACGATTATTCAATTCTCAATTTGCACTTTTAATCAAGATTTTCACTATGCACCCCCAATATCATAAATTTATGTTTTTCGTTTTTCGTTTTTATTTTGATATTTAGAGAAAACAAGAAAAAAAAACTTGTTTGATAACCGTTTTTATTTTTTTTTTCTGTCATTGTTTTGTAAATGAGGGACGATTTTCAAAAACGAGAANATCGTTTTTATTTTATTTTTCTGTCATTGTTTTGTAAACGAGGGACGATTTTCAAAAACGAGAAAAAGACGTTTTTCGTTTTTTGATTCTGTTTTTCGTTTTTTAAAAAATCAAAAACCATAAACATTACCAAATGAGCCCTTTAATTGATCCTAAACCAAACTACTGTTTAGTTTTTCGTCTGAAACATAANTTTTATTTTTTTTTTCTGTCATTGTTTTGTAAATGAGGGACGATTTTCAAAAACGAGAAAAAGACGTTTTTCGTTTTTTGATTCTATTTTTCGTTTTTTAAAAAATAAAAACCATAAACATCATCAAACAGCCCTTTAATTGATCCTAAACCAAACTACTGTTTAGTTTTTCGTCTGAAACATAAGCCTGTGAGTTGTGAGTGGCATTGGGATGAGCTTAACTATAACTCACGTGTTTTGTTTTTAGACGAAAAACTGAATGATAGTTTGTGTTAGGATCACATAGACACAAATGTATGACAATGGGGGTGAAAATTACAAATTTCGATTTTTGAATCTGCAAATTAAAAAGCAATGGATTTTTTAAGGTTCAAATTCCAATTAACCCTTAAATTTATCTAGCAAATTTATCAATATAATTAATTGTTGTATTACTAGCATGTTATATCCAGTATTAAAACTCACAATGGAAATAATGATTTTCAACAACAAATCTAGCTAGTAAATTTGACCTGGATAGTATTATTCATGCGTAATCAATCATTAACAGAACATTGTGATTTAAATTTTTTTTCTATTTTTGCATGGTGGGTATATTTTTTTTTTATAGTAAACATCTATATAATAAAGTAACTTACAATTCAAATCTCAAAAGATAAACAAAATAATTTTTGTTATTCGCGGTTGAAATCGCTTCAAATTTTATTTTAAAATTAATCTAACGACTAATATTAACACCCTAAATTTAATAGAAAAAATAAGCTCNTATAAATTCTTAATATTTTTTATAATATTAAAGATTTTTCTGTAAATAATAGTGGACAATTTTGATTTCATAACACCCATAAATTAAGGGATCTATTTGTTGTTTCCAAATTTTTTTAGGTGATTTTGTAAGTAGCGGAGACATCATCAATTGACCAATCTTAATCTTGTAATTAACAAATAGTATAGAGGGAAAAGTTTGAGGCTTTGTTTAATGTGCATGAATTGATTAGACTTGTCAACTGTATCGGCGGATGAGAGGATTGGGTCGGGGTGAATTTGTCTCAAAAAATTATTTTACTCATATTTAAATTTTTTATTAATTCGTATCTAACGAATCATGTTATATAAAATCCGTGTCATGTATATCTTTTGATTGACTTTACTCA